CTTTAAATACCCGAAATAGTTCTAGTATTACTAATATCTATAAACTATTTCTGAATTCGGATATTCTTATTTAGTATAAAGGAAATACTAGTTAATCTAATAATTAGAATAGACTATATAAACTAGTAGCTATTAATAGAGAGAACTATATACTAGCTCTATTATATAGTAATACTATCTTTCGTTTAACCTTTATAAAGCCCTTTTATATAGGGAATATTAAGGTTATTACTAATAACTCCGAACCTAAACCTATTCCCGAATCTAATAATAAGGCTAAAGGTAATATAAGTATGATTTCTCTTACTATTTCTGCTATTTTACTAAAGTATAATAAAGAATACCCTTATAAGACTCCGGATATTATAGTATTTCTATAAAATAATAGATTATATAAGAATTCCCGTTAAGTTAAAGTTATTAGCCTTCTAAAAAAGAATATATTTAAGATTACTTCTAAATCTCAGGTACTAAAAGAAATATATATCTTTAACTCCCGGTTTATTAATAAGATTAAGAATAAGAATACGAATAGTATATTAAAGAATTATTTAAGTTATTCGATTTATTTATAAATAATTTATAAATAACTTAAATAAAATAAGAGTAATAAATATCTTAAATAATTTAAGTAAAATAGAATAATTATTTATAAATAACTTAAATAACTATAAATAACTATATAAAAGTTATATAAAAAGTAATAAATTAGTATATATTTAAATTAAAAAAAAGAACTAAGGTATATATTAAGTAGCCTTATATAAGGCTATTTAAATACAGATTTTCTATAATAAATAAACTAATTATTACTAAGGTTCGATTTATTTATTAAGTACTATTACTACCTAATTAAGTAATAAGGTAGTATTTGGTAGTACTAGGTACGGGTTCCCTAAAGCCTGACTTAATTAGGCTAGCTTAATTATATATATAGATTATATATATTATTTAAGTTATTTATAAATAACTCGAATAATATATAAAATAAGAATAATAGCTATTATTCTATTCTATTCTATTTATTTAATATACTAGATATAGAAAGAGAGCTTAAGAAATCGAGACTAGTTATTTAAGCCTATAATAATAATAAGAAATATATAATATTCATATAATTACTTATTATTTAATATATTAGCTAGAGAATTATCTTTAGTATTATTATTATAATAATAGATATTATAGAATTATATTTATATAATATCTTACAAGCTTATATCTAATTAATAATCTTATTTAATTATAATTTCTATATTAATTTACTCTATAAATTTACTAGTGAACTAAATCTAAAAAACGATTCTATTCTAAAGGTTATAAAACTATTATATAATATACTAGAAGCTGGGAACTACTAGTTTAAGACTTACTATTTCTACTATATTAATGAGCTTTTTATAAAATAGTTAACTTATAACTCTTGCTTTTTCTATAGTAAGGAATTCTTTAGAATTATTAGCTTTTAAACTAATAATATCTTATTTATTAGAACTAATAATTTTATAAAGGCAAAGTAATTAAAGCTCTATAAGGCTAAGTTCTTAACTAAGAAATATAAATCTCTTACTTTTAATTATAATCTCAAGTTTAATAGAAGTATTATTTATATATATATTACTAGAATTACTCTTATATAGGAATACTAGTATAAAAACCTCCGAATTATTTCTATAAAAAATACTATTATTATAAGTAATAGAAGTACTATTTATTAAAATTTCTCTATTAAGAACTAATATATTACTTAATATATTAGAAAAGTATATATTATATTAGTCTATTAACTAGAAGCTTTATATAACTTATTAATTATTACTTAAGCTATTAATCTCTCGGAAACTAATATAAAGGTATTTAATAAGTATATTTAATAGTAATTTGAGAATATTACTAGAGAACTAAGATTTATAAAGCTAGTAAAGAAGTTCCTATATTTAATTATTTTTATAAATACTTTATTTATAAATAATAAAGATCTTTTTTTTAAATTAGATATATTCTAGTTCTAGTAAATAGAATTAGATATACTAATATTATTTACTAGTTCTTTACTAAATATAAGAGAGTTACTAGAAGTATTCTAGTTTCGGAACTTTATAATATAGCTTATAGTTTTAATATAGGTACTTTAGTTAAATCTATAATTAATAAAATACTAGAAATAGAACTACTACTAGTTATTTATACGGATTCAAAGTCGTTATATAAATACCTTATTAAATTAGGTACTATTTGAGAGAAATACCTAATAATTAATATAATATATTTTTATTAAATATATAAATAATAAGAGATTATAGAAGTTAAGTAAATTAAAAGAGAATTAAATTCTACTAATTCTATAATGAAATCAAAGCTATTAAATGCCTTTAAATACCTTATTAATACGAATATAATATAATTAGATATAGAGGAATAGGTTAAATATAAATAGAATAGGAAATAGATATATAAGATAAGAAAATATTATAGAAGAAGAAGTTATATATAAAAGGCTACGGCTTTAGTATATAACTAAAACCTTAAAAATAATATAGATATATAGTATTTAGGAGATCTGGTACTAGGCCGAATTAGGGAATTTGTATATAATTAGAAGAGGGTACTATTTTCTGTTTTTCGTGTTTTTTAAAGAGTTTCTAATATTAGTATAGCTATTTTTTTTAGAAGTTATATATATAGTTATAAGATATAGGATACGGGATATAGTTATATAACCTTATATCTTATTAGTAACTCGACTAGTAAACTAGATTCCTTTAGGCTTAGCAGATTTAGGAATTATATATTAATACTATAATACTATAATCTCTACTTCTAAATAATAACTTTACTAACCTTATATAATTAGTATTTTATAACTATATAATAATACGATATATTTCTAGTAAACTAATAGTAATATAATAAGAAAAATTAAAATATACTAATATATATAACTAGTAATTATATAATATACTTTTATATATATAACTTTCTTTCTTTAACTTTCTTTTCCTTATTTTAATATTAAATCTAGCTAGCTATTTATTAAATAGCTCGAGTTTTTATTTTTAGGTATTTATTTTTCTTTATTATAATAATAGCCTTAATTCTTAATTATTCTTAAATCCCGTAAGAATTTTTAAAAGAAATAAAAGTATTAGTTTATTATAAAAGATATAGTACTATTATATATTTATAAAATATTAATTATATAGATTATAATAAATAAATAATTATTATAAAAAAAAGTAAATATTATAGTTATATATTCTATAGCTATTATATATTCTCTATATATAATATACTAGACTATATTAGGTTAGACTAGTTTATATACTTATCTGGTATTTATATATTTATATATACTTCTTTTCTTAGTTTAGTATTATTAGAATAAAGCTATTCTAATCTGCTTTCTAAATCTAAAGCTCAGGTTTTATAATAATAAGAATTATAATATTAATATTCCGCTTTAGTTAAGCTAGTCTAATTAAGAGTAATATAATAAATTTATAATATTTATAATAGTATAGATATATTATATAACCGGGCTAGTTATATATAAACTAATAAGAAGATTTACTTATTTATATTTATTAAGAAATAAGAACTCTTATATTATTATAAAGATTATTATTAAAAAAGAAAATTAATTTATAATCTTTATAAAAGCTACAACTTTTTCTAATTAAGTTTTATATTTATTAAATTTACGAGCTAATATTATATTTATAATTAAATAAGTATTTATTTCTAGTAAATAAAATAAAATAATTAAGAAATAACTTTTAGGTTTAAAAGATATAATAAGAAATATAAGAAAAGACTTATAAAGAAAAATAAAATTTAAATAATATTATATATCTTTTTAAAATACTTAAAGTATATTTCGTAATTATAAACTAGCTATTTATATTTATAAGATTAGTATTTAAAAATAAAGAAGTTAGAATAAAATATATGTAAAATAGAATATATATAAAATAAAATATATATAAAATAAAATATATATAAAATAAAATATATATAAAATAAAATATATATAAAATAAAATATATATAAAATAAAATTATTAAAAAGAAAATATTATTTAAGTATTAGTAACTTATTTAATTACTAGATTATTTAATTACTAAGTTATTTAATTACTAGGTTATTTAATTACTAGATTATTTAATTACTAGGTTATTTAATTACTAGGTTATTTAATTACTAGGTTATTTAATTACTAGGTTATTTAATTACTAGGTTATTTAATTACTAGGTTATTTAATTACTTGGTTATTTAATTACTAGGTTATTTAATTTTTACTTAAAAGCTATTTTTAACTAAAAGAAAGTAGTTTAACTTATTATAAGCTATTATTTCTTTATAAAAGCCCGGATAGTATAGAATAAGTTATCGCAAAATAGCAAGGAATAGTGATTTGCATAAGTGGTTGTCTGATTAAAAGAAGCTCTAAAGGAAGCCTCTGGATCTAGCTAAATAAAAGGGGCCGCTGAGTAAGCGAAGCTAAGCTCCCTAGTACCCGTACATACGACATAAGTTTTATTAATATATAAAGATATAACTTATAATAGCTATTTTAAGTATATAATTATATAAATTATTTAACTTATTAAGTAAAAAGCTATACTTAGGTTACTTTAATTATAATTAACCCCTTAAAAAATAGAGTTCTAAACCTTAAGTTTTTATAATAGTTTCTTTAGTATTAATTGACTTATAAATAAAGTATATTAATTAAAGCAAATATATAATATAAGTCGCTTATTTCCGGTAAATTTTAAAGCTCTCGTTTTATAAGTTTATTCTTTCGAACTTTATATACTCTATTATAAAATAAACCTGCCCTTCTAGTATTTATAAGTTATTGTATTTATTTCCTATATATTACTTAGGCTATATACCTATACTTCTACTAATAGAAATTATAAGAAATACGTTAAGTATATTTAGCTTATATATAAAAGAATATAATATAAATTAAATAATTAAATATAACAGAGGTATAAAAAGGAGATATTTTATTAATCTAAAGCCGGGTAATTGCTATATAAGTAAAGCTATTATAAGAAAGATAAGCTGATATATAAGACCTATTAACTCTTTTTATTTTACGAAGCGGAGACTTCACGGCAACTCATTTCTCGCGGAACTAGATCCTACCATGCCCATCATATGCTTTTGTTCCTCCTGCTGTGTAATGTATGATAGTCGGTATTCCTGCAAAGTGCTACGTTTTCGTCGTTGGTTGCGAATGTACCATATAGCAAAGGAGACAAAGGCTATCAAGGCGACGGCGCCGATGACAGGGCCGGAGATCCAAGCCACGCTGCTTGGTGACTGATGAGGTGGTTCAGTTGACTGTGTGGGGGATGGTGCTGTCGGGGTTGTAGAGAAGGGGCTTGTGAAGGTGGAGCTCGAGGACTGCGCTATCAGTCAATGTCAGTGACCACGTGCTACCCATTGCAGCATTGTACTTACAGGAGCTTGAGGTCAATGTTGAGCTCAAAGTAGATGGAAAGTCACGATAAATAGTCAAGGCCGAATAACTTCCTCCACAAAAGTAATTCGTGACTGGCGAGATGTTTGGGAACGTTGCGAAGATCGTTTGGGTAATGCAAGTCCAGAACACACTGCCTGGCACACTGTATTTTTATCAAAATAATGTTCGCAAACGCAAGATGTTCTTTATTTTCCGTACCATGTTACGACACCTCCACTTTGAACACCATTCCGAGTCGTCGCCTGGGTGCAGCCGTAGTCCAATGTGCTTGTTGAAGCAACATAATCGGTTCCATAGCAGCCACCATAGGCGCTTGAAGTAGTGAAGAGGTTGCCGTTACCACAAGAGAGTGTTTGTGCTGGTGCAAAGTCACTGAGGAGAATTAGAAATCGGTCGTTGAACATTATACTCACTTGACGATCCAGCTATAAAGTAACCAAGGAGAGGGCCATCATCTCTCGCTCCGATTTTATGCCTGGGTGCTGGGGTTATCAGCGCAGCCATTGGAGTGGTTGGGGTTGACATCGTTTGCAGCTTTAAACTAAGCAATTCCAAGTCTTGGAAGACAAGGCTCCTAGAAGTAAGCTGATATATTAGGGTTGGGATTATTTTTAGCAACACCTGTATCTTATGATAACACAAGGCTCGGAATGCATGTCACAGGAATAGCATCCTTTATCTTTCAAAGTGTCACTCGAAAAGTATAATTAGCGGGCAGACTATGTGGGCGTCGCCCAATTGTGCGGGCTGTCTCAGCTTCAGCCAATGGGGATGTTATGATTTTGTTAGTGTTGCAGAATTGGTGCTTCGTAGAGGCGCAGGTGACGGCTCCGCCACGCGTTCGAGATGGAAGTGGAGGCTAAGCCTGCAAGTTTGGCCAAATGGATAGCAGCCTTTCACCTGTAGGACCCCAGCAAAGCCACAATCACACCAAAAACAAAAACTGGAAAGATTACACCTATCTGAACAAGCCAAATGTTTGTAAAATCGCGGACATCTGTCATCACGGTGATCTCTGAGACAATCGTACCGCAAAGCAACTTTGCATCGTGCAGGAAGACCATCCGGCCAATGTAGTGTTGTGGGTTGGCTGGACCATGATTCGCCGGGGCTACTGAGGCCATTAGCGGGCTAGTCGACAAAACCGAGAAGCGAAAAGTGATTTTCTGATTTTTTGATTTTCGCGCCCGCACCCCCCCCCCCCCTCCCCATACCTTACTAAAAAAAAAAAAGTATAGTATATACGCCTTATTCTCGACTATTCCTAGCCCCCCCTTAGCTTGCGTGGTCCGTAAGGCAAATCCCATGGATTACGAGGCACATCTCCATCTCCCTTACTCTCTGTATCCTCCGTACTCGAGCTCCCGCTTAAATGCACGCCCCGCTTAAATGCACGCGCCCCCACCAACTTTTTTCCTCACTCTCACCTACTTCTAAATTAAATTATTAATTAACCACAAGACCAATTAGCTTGAAATCAAAAACAGAGATAGATTAATAGCTAATAAATAATATCCCAAATTAATTAGACCCCTTCTCAAAAATCACCCGTGGTTTTATCGCACGCCCCCGGGAGCTCTGTTTTACCGGTGTTTCTAGGACCCCCCCATTAATATTACCATTAATAAAGGAAATAACCTTCTTTTTGAGAACTGGTACCTTTCTAGGTTTTGCAGGAGTCTTAATTCTCACTGGAAAAGCCTTTGGAACCTTCTTTTACTTAGCTTCCTTCTCTTTTTGAGCTTGTAATTCAGCCTTCTCCTCAATTCTCACTTTATCGATATTCTCCCCCCTCACTACTACTTGTAGAGCCTTCTCTGCCTTCTCAGCTTCGTTCTTTTGCTTTTTAAGAGCTTGGGTAGCCTTTTTAGTATTAATTCGTATCCGTTCAGATTTCGCAAATACCTCCTTTTTAGCAAAAAGCTCCTGTACACGTCGAACATTATCTGCAGAGAAGAGTATTGGCTTTATATGCTCCTTCCCCAAGATATTTAGCCGCTTCCCACGAGCCTTACTCTTTTTTTCGTCCTTTAATGCCTCAAGTAACCCTTCCTTTATATATCTATCGAGTGCGGCTTGTGCAGCTAGCTCTTTATTAGCTCTAAAGAGCTTCTCAAGCTTTGCTTGGGACGGATTTTTGCGAAAGTTAGCTTGGAAGTATTGAATTAATTTCGCAGATCGTGGAGTCTTTAATTATTGAATTAATAAAGGTACAGGTTAAATGGCCTCTAGGGAAGTAATTAGACGGCAAATAACCTTTAAAACAAGAGCAGGATTATATGGCCAAATACTAGGCTTCGCGAATGCCTTCTGAATATTCTCTATCATAAAGGCACTATTCCAGGCTAGACGAAATAGCTTTAGGAATTATTTCTTCTTTATTAACGAGTAGCCAAGGCTCTATTCTTATTATTTATTAAGTTCCTTTGAGTATGTAAGGGATAAAAGACCAAAAAGTACTATATCTAAAGGTTAAAGTTAATGTATTAAGTGAGAAGGTAAAACAAGAAGTATAATATAAAGGTCCTAATATTTATTAATAAATATTATATTTATATGGCTTAAATAGCTATTAATAATTAAAAGGCGCTTCGTATGAGGAGAAGAAGGTCGTGTGGCTGGTTTAAAGACCTTGGTAAGCCATTAAAGCCCCCATATATTACTACTCTATCCATTGCTTAATATACTAAAAAAGAAGTTGTCTTGCTCTTGTAAATCTTATACCCAGGTATTCCGTAAATTAAACGATTTGCTAGTATATAATAGGGTTACAGGAACCCTTTTTCTAATTATAGAGACATATGCTAAGCAAGTAATAAATTCGCGATTTCTATTATGGATAGCTTGCTTAACCCTCCCTGATTTATATGCCTCTTTAGATATAATTCTCTTTATTACTCGCATAACCCTAATTAAGAAGCCCTTTTTATCCTAATTATATACGTTATTAGCCGTAATATGGTTATGTTTAATGGCTTGGAGTAACTAGGGTAGGATATATGTTAGTAGGTAATTCTCGTGAAATATAATAAAGTAATATAAAAGGGTACTTAACTAGATTAAAAAATAACTTATATATAGGGCCATATTTGCCCTTGACACGTTAATTCTCGATATTACGTAAATATAAGCTTTTTAGCTCGCTTTAGTACCGCCGGCAAAATTGAGAAACCTAGTTCTTCCCCATAGCGTGTCTAATTATCTCTTCTGCGAAGTTCTTGACTATTTGACTAGTTAGAGGGATCTCGCGCTCGGTAAGGCAATTGATTTAATTAATTAGAACACGCTCTTGAGCATTAGTAAGATATTAGTGGATTTGGAACTGGAATTCCGCTCGGGAGGTAGTTTGTCCTCTGGCGCGTCTGGATAGCATAGATCGCGTTAATCCATACTTTCTGGCTATTATAGCATAATTAGGAGCTTTAGAGCTTTTGATTTCGGCCAGAGCCTTCTTTATATCATCTTCGTTAATCATTTTGTGGGTGTTTAAAGAGAGGGGGTGGTTTATTAGTAAAGCGTGTATTTAAGCGGGGCGTGCATTTAAGCGGGAGCTCGAGTACTACCTATATTACTCGAATTATCTATATCTCCTTTGTTCCCTTCTCCTCTAGTATCCTTACCCTTCTCTACTATAATCTCCTTCCCTATTGCCTTCTAATCTTATATCTGTCTTTATACTCGCTTTCTATATCTTATAGGCGGTCGAGGCTTTAGTATAAAGGGTTTTATAGATACGGAGCAAGGCTTTCCAGACTTAGTAGAATTAGTATTAAGTTAATAGAAAGTATAGATTTTACTATTATTATTATATTTATAATTTATATAAGTACTATTAAATTTGCCTTTTATAATTATATAGAATTTGAAAGGGCCTCTTGGCCTCTTTTTATTACTATAAGTAGTATAAGCTTAAAAGAATTCGGTTTTATAAGTATATATTAAACTTGCCTCCAGATTTGCCTTACCTTTCTCTAATTCTTTTAGCTTCTTGCCCTAGTATAGCTTTATTTTTCTAACTTTAGCCTTATTATTAATTCGCTTTACTATTTTAATAATATTATTAGATAGTATAAGGAAATTAAAGTATTATTATAGAAAAGAAAGAGGAAAAAAAGGTTATATATAAGGAAGAGATTAAGAAATAAAGGAGTTTATTAGTTAAATATATTAATAGAAAAGGATATTATAGGCTAAGTCTGAATTATTAGAAGATATATTATAAATATTATTTTTCCGTTTATTTATAGCTTTATTACCTTTCCTATTACTTTTATTTTTACTAGAGCTATTATCTAAAATTATATTTAATATATTTTTAATAAAAGAAAGTTTTAATAATAGTATTATATATTAGAATTAAAATTGTTTTTAGAAAGAAATTAAGATTAAGGTTAAGGCTAAAGTTAAAGCTAGTATAGCTATATCTTTATTATTTATTTTTGGGATATAAAGATATATATTTAATATAATTATTTAAATTTAAATAAATTTATAATAAATAATACCTAAAAATAAAAATATTAGTATTTAATAGCCCTAGATTAAATATATTTAAATATTAAAAAAATTATAATTTTAGGTATTATAATTATAAAAATAAAGATATAAATATTCTTTCTTTTATTAATTTATAAAAGCCAAAATATACTAATAATAATTAAACTATATTTAACCTATATAGTTAGCTAATTTACTTTACTAATTATAAATAATTTAAGGTAATTTAAATCTCTTTAAATCTCTTTAAATCTCTATATATAGCTTATTATATAAACTTCTATATCTCTATATTTAATAATACTATAATTATAATTTTTAAATAAAAAAATTCCCTTATTCTAGTATATATAATTATATTTATTTTTTATTTTTCGAATATATAATTATTAAATTAAAGAGGCTTAAAAATTCTAAATAAAACTTTTTTCTAAAAGATATATATTTTTAATAAATAATAAAAGTAAATATAGAATTATATAATAATATAACTATCCCGTATTAGTAATTTTATTTTTTATAAAATTATAACTCTATTCTATTTTTGTTTTAAAATCTTTATTTTTCTTTTATATTTTTTCGATTTTATTATTAATACTAAGAGCTTCTACTTTTTACTAATACCTTCTCTATTAATACTTTTATTAATACTTTTATTAATATTTTTATTAATATTAAGAGCTAGTATCTAACTATCTTATAATCTTTCTTTCCTTTTCTAAACTCCTTCTCTAAACCCCTTCTTTAAACCCTTTCTCCGAACCCCTTCTCCTTTAATACTTCTACTATTAATACCAAGAGCTAGTATCTAACTATCTTATAATCTTTCTCTCTTCCTTCTTCTCTCCTCTTCTCTAAACCCCTCCTTTGAATTCTTCCTTTAAACCCCTTTTCCGAATTCCTCTTCCGAACTCCTCTTTCGAACTCCTCTTTCTTTAATACTTCTACTAATAATACTAAAGCTAGTACCTGATTACTACTTCCGGGTCACTTTTATTCAGAACTCCTATACTATAAGTCTTTAACCCACTTACTTCTTAGAAAACTAAATTTTAGATCCTTTCTCTCCTTTTCTAATATTTCTTTCTCTTCTTTTCTAATACCTCTTATATCTTCGGGCCCTTTAGGAATATTCTCTTTTGAACTTCCAAAAAAGAGGCTAACTCTTGTTTAGATTTCTTTGAACTTTAATACCTTCTTTCCTTTTCTAATATCTCTTATACTTTCGGGCCTTTTGGAAATACCCTCTCTTAAACTTCTAAAAAAGAGGCTAACTTCTGTTTAGATTCTTCCGAATTTTAATACCTCCTCTCCTCTTTTAATATTTATAAAAGCTTTTGGGCTATTACTAAATACTCCTATTCTTTATTTTGGAATATATACTAACTTATTCTTATAGGAAATAGCCCTTTTTTCTCTAATCTCGATTTCTTTAATATATATTTCTTACTTTCGGGCTATTTAGATATTTCCCTATTTACTTTTATAAAATATATACTAATTTATTTTTTAGTTTCCTTTACCTTATCTCTCTTTTAATATTATTATATATATATCTAATTAGTACTAGTTCTTATAATTTATAATTAGGCTTTCTATTTATTAAATACCCGAATATTTTATTTTACTTTTATTTTATATATTTTATTTTATATATTTTATTTTATATATTTTATTTTATATATTTTATTTTATATATTTTATTTTTCTTTTATTATAAATTAGAACTTAAATAGTATTTATTTTAAATACTTATACTTTCGGATATATAAGATTCCTATAGATCTTTCGGGATTATAAACTAGCTTATTTTGGTTTGAGAAAGCTTTTTTAAAAGTATTCCAGGAATTATAATATTTATTATAACTCTTTCCAAAAATTAATATAATATAAGTATTTCTAGTCTATTTTCTTTTTATAAAGTAAACCGCTATTCTAAATCTATATAAAAGTCCTAATTATTTCTTGAATTAAAATATAAATACTTTTTATTTCTATTAAATTAAATATAAAGAATAATAAATACCTTTAAACCAGACTATAGTACTAGTTAAATACTAAGACTTTCTATATCTATTTTATAAACTTATAGTTCGAGATATATTATATTTAATAGGGCTTTTATATTTAATTATTTTATACTATAGTAAAATGTCTTAATATTATAATTAGAAGAGTTCTATTTTATAATCTTATTTACTATTTATAGATTTTCTAGCTAATAAGTCTTGGCTAATAGCTAAGAAACTTATTAACTATTTTATTTAAAGCCTCTGGAAACAGGAAGTTACCTTAATAAAGACTTAGTATTAAAAATAGGTTTAACTAATTAATTCAAATAAGGAGTTTATAATAGGAGTCTTTATATATAGGTAATTCTATATAATAAACTCAAGTCTCTATTCCTAGTTATATAAATAAGCTATATAAGAAACTCTTTCTAGCCTATTAGAATAGTTCCTATTTCTAATTATATAAATTATAATATATAATAAACTTAAACTTTTCTTGAATTATTTTTAGAAGAATTAGTAAGCTTTTCTAAATAGACTTATTAAGGCCTTGGTTTTTAAAAGTATTAGTCTAGCCTTTTTATTTCTTTTTTAGATAATAGTTCGGCTTTTAGGAATTATATATAAATATCGGAATAAATAAGAAAATATATTATATATATTTTCTAGATAAATTAGAATAGAATTTATAGGATTCTTGTAATATTTTTATTAAATCTATAATACTGGCTAATAAAGACTTTAATAACCTTAATAAGACTTGAATTACAAGTCCGGTCCTTAGATTTCTTATTTAATTTAAAAATTAAATAGTTTATAATAGGTTATCTATTATAAAATATATTATATTTTTTTCTTAAAAAATACTAGATACTAGTAATAGTTTAGAAGCCCTAAAGCCCTTAAGATTCTTTATAAGTTTCGGGCTTTAGGGCTTTTCTATAGCTAACTAATTATATAGAATTATATAACTATATAGGTCTGATATTAATATAAAGTAATTAGTAACTTTATATATAAATATAATATGGTTTTTAGTATAGCTAGTCTAATATATTATATATCTATATATAAATACCTGTAATTATATTATTATAATATAATATATTCTTAATATATTTTTAATATAAAAATCCTTTTATAATTCTAGACTTTTAGAAGCCTCCTTTATATTAAAGATAAAATATATAATATAATTTGGGTATTAAATTTAAAAGATAAAGAATTATAAAGGTTCTAATAATTATAAGACTTTATAAACTTAGATAGATTTGAATATTATAAAAGTATTAAATTTAGTAGCCTGATTTTTAAATTATATAAAAACTAATTAAAGAGTATTATTTTAAAATATTAATTATAAATTTCAAATATATATATATTTATAAAGAAATAAGACCTAAAATAATACTAAGCTAATTATAAAATATAGGAAAAAGTATATTAGATATTAGGCCTATTTTTTCTTAATTACCTTAATCTCGGCAGATATTTATATATAATTTATTAGACCTTATATAATAGGTTTATTTAGGAGAAATAAGGTTAATTAGCTTAAAAAGTTTAATAATAATAATTAGACTTCTATTTAATATAATAGATAGAATACTAGTAATAGCCCAAATACTTTAGGTTTTATTTATAAAACTAAAAATATTATATTTATTAATTCTCTATATCTAATAAGGAAAAGAAATAATATATTTATTACTATAAAATAATACTTATATAATCTATAAAATTAACTATAGTTCCCTTTACTAGAAGAGAGAATAATAAAATTAAAAAAAGATCTAATAGCCTATTATTATTATTATTATTATTATTATTATTAGAATTAGCTTTAATAATACTTTTAATAGTATTTTTAGTAGTACTTTTTATATTATCTTATGGCTTCTAGAAATTAGTAAATAGAAAAGAATTCTAGTATATATAAGTTAATTAAACCTAAAAACAAAAAAAG